GGGCAATGAATGTACAAATGTGCTTTACACAATTGATGTATGTATGGATTGAGATAAGAGTTGTATGAGCCCCTAATAAAACGATTGAAAAACAAAAAGAAAGAAAGAAAAAAAAAAAAGAAGGGAGGGTGAGTCAATGGTGGAGGCCGGAAGGAGTCAAGAATCATGGGCGAGTGGACGGTATCTGACAGCACACACAGGCCCCCCTCGGTTTACTTCTGCTGGCCCTGCTGCCCTTTCCTCACAGGGAGGCTCATGGGACGTGGCTGGCACCGTCCTGAGCATTGCCACAGAGCAGTAGTAACAAAGACAGCCCTTGACTTTGTCTCTAAAATCTTAGCGGCAGACATGTGAGAGCTCCACAGTGGTACAGTATGCACGGTGCACACACGGCTCCCGGAGGCAGACCTCACGGGCACTGCGAGAACCGTTAGAAACCGCCAATCGAACAAGTGCAGTCAGTCTCCTACCTTGATGAGTAGGGACTGGGATCTTAAAAGCGCTAAGGGATGCCTATTAACCTTGCTCTCTCCAGAGGGAAGAAGAGGAGTAATAACTGAAGACGCACAGAGACAATTAGTTCGATGGACTACGGGTCGCATGGACATGAGTCCCCACAAGAGAAGCCCTAAAAGGTGCCCAGCTACCACTACCAACTGCTCTGAAAGGAATCACATTAGGAGGTCCTGGACAAAAGACTTGGAACAAAACTCGAAGCCATGAAGGAGACTAGGTTTGCTGGTTGGAGAGAGACTGGTGGAACCCCCAAGACGATGGTCCTTGGTCACCCTTCAGGTCTGGAGCGGAATTCACTCTGGTGATTCAATTTTCAGCCGAGCAATAGGTGAGTCTACCCGGGGAGGAATAACTCTCTTCATGTGTAAGCACCTTAGAATCACGAACTCCTGGGGATCAAGATCCATTCGGGATCCCCGAGGAGCCTTTGTGGTGCAGTGGGCTACACTGAGCTGCTCACCACAGTCAGTGGTTTGAACCGAGCAGTCGCTCATAGGAGAAAGACGAGGTTGTCTGCTCCTGTGAAGATTTAGTCTCTGAAACCCCAAGAGCCTGTCGTTCTACTCTGACCTATAGAGCCCTTATGAGTTGGAAATCAACTTGATGGTAGCGAGTGTTTGGATCGGAGGGATCAAGGGGCAACATTTACCCGAGGACGAAGTTCAGGAGGCGAAATAGAGACAGGAAGCAGAAAAGAGGTGAGATGGATGACACTACATTGCGGAGACCATCTGCTCTGTGAAACTTCACTCAATTCGCAGGAATAGATCTTTTCAAAGAGAACCGATCTGCTTTGTAAACTTTCACCCAAATCTCTCTTTCTCACACACACAATCATTTTTGACTTACAGAACTAAAAGTTTCAGATGGCTCATTGCAATAATCTCCATCTAATGATCCCCCTAACTGGAGACCACAGAGAGTCCCCTCTTCCTCGGGTCAGTGGCGGCCTCATTTGCAAAAACCCTTCTGCTTTGGAGCTTCCATTCCAAATAGCAGATCGGGGCGGGGAGCCCGGTGGGACTCGAGGGCATTGTGAACATGGCTATCCCGGATGTCTTCCGTGTCCCGAGGGCTTCACAGAGTTTGTGGAAAAATTCCACGGCCTATTCATTCCATTTTCCCACAAACTCCTGAACCCCCCTCATAGTTACTAGTGCATGTCATCCTCATTACAGCCGGAAGAGGGGAGTCTGGAGCGCACCCCCATTTTACAGTCAGGGAAACGAGGCTCCCAGAGGCCCATGGCTACCCAGCTGGCAAATGGCAGAGTTGGCAGCGGCAGCTCAGCTCCCCTCGTCCCTTGCCTCCCAGTACTCACCAGGGGCCCTGGGGCCCGAGTTCTTGCTCCGGTCTGGGGCAATGGTCACCGAAGAGGGTGGGAGGCCATCCGAGCCGGTGGGGAGCGAGGAGCTGCTGACATCGCTGGGGTGGAGGGAGGCCTGGCTGCAGGGAGGAGGCAGAGGGAGGCAGCGGAGACATCAGAGGCTGCGGGCTTGGAGCCAAGGAGCAGAGAAGATGGCAAGGCTGAGGGAGTGACCTGTGCTTGAGCAATCTTGCAGCTCTGCTCTGCAGGCTCAGCATCTCCAGGTCCAGCAGGGCTGCCCTCCAGGGATTGGAGCTCTGTGGGGATAAGAGGAGGCAGAGCCAGCCCTCACTCCAGGGCCTGGAGCAGAGGTCTGCATTGCCCCAGCACCCGCTGGCCTGGGATCCCTGGATCTGCCAGCACGGTGTCCACTTCCCCTCCTTAGGGAAGACTATGTTTTTGTCTGTAGGTCTATACACCTCCTGCGCAGTCATTGCTGTTTGAGAAGAATCAACCCTACCTTCCTGACGGGCTTGGCCAGTCGTCAGTCTCTGGTATCTTCTAACTTTGAGAATGAGCCCCAGAGAGCAAGCCCTGGGGCTTTGGATGGAGCTACGGGAAAAATCTCTCTTCTTTCCACTGGAGTGACTAAATTCGTACCTGAGAGGCCAGAGCCAGTGGGGACATCTTGGCTGCTGTGAGGGGAACGTTGGTTGGAGATTGAGCCCAAGAGACAGGGACGCAGAGCTGAGAGTCAGGTTCCTGTTCTAACACCCGGATCAAGCTTGGTCAAAGGGAGTGGAAGGCCACGTCACCTGTTCTCTTTCCTGCAGGGCGTCCATAGCCGTGGCAGGAGTCCCAGGAGTCCGGACTGTGGTGCCGGCACTTCTTTCTTGTCTGGAGGCCCCTGCTGAGAAGCCCTGGCTGAAGGAGGGAGGCCCCAGAGGAGTGGCTACCAGGGGACACTGATCAGGCCAGATTTGAGGCCAGCAGGTGGGTGTCACCCAGGCAGGTACCTGCTGTGGGTTGAGTACTGGGATGGGGAGACTCCAGCCACCAAAATTCAGTTGGGGTTAGGCCTGCAGGTTGGCGTTCCTCTCGCCTTGTGGGCTGAGCCTGCCGGAAGCGGTTTATGTACCTGTGAGCATCAGGAGGTGGGAGGTGAGTGGGGGGAGGAAAGCTACATCTACATCATCATCATCATCATCATCATCATCCTAACAGCCAATGCTTCTCAAGCGCCAAAGCACAGTAGCAGGGCCTGATCGTTGACCAGGGGAACAGAACCCCTGTGCTGTAAATTACATCTCCCAGGGGCCCTTGTGGCCAGGTCGTGACTAATAGGGTGTGAGATGTGATGGTGGAGCTTAGACGTGGTTGAGAGCCTTTTTGGTCCACGAAAATCAGGGGACACTAGGGATGGAAGAGCAATAAGACAGAAGGAGTCTGGGTTCTTGATTCCTCACCCAGAGACGGCCACAGCAGTCCCGGTTGTTTCTGTATGAACTATTACGCAAGGAAGAACTTCTCTATTGTTTAAGCGACAGTTCCGTTGAGACTCTTGGCTACAGCAGCTGGCCTTGGACTCTACAAATCCAAGTGCCCGTTATGACAGGCACTGCTGGTGAGACTGTATGTAGTTATTCAGTGGAGATGCAAACCTCCTCCAGGAGTTAGATGCTATTTAAAACAAAACCAAAAAACTCCAAACTCACTGCCATTGAGTCACTGTTGACTCACAGCGACCCTATGGGGCAGGGTGGACCTGCCCCTGTGAGTTTCTGAGATGGTAGCTCTTTACAGGAATAGAAAGCCTCTCTTCCACCCTTGGAGGGTCTGGTGGTTTCAAACTGCTGACGTTGTGATTAGCAGCCCAACGTGTAACCACCACACCATCAGGGTTCCTCTTAGGTGCTATTATTACTCTCCCCACCTCCCTCATTTTCAGATGAAAAGTCAAGAGTTAGGATGTATTTGGAAATGATGATGGCAACATATGTACAAATGTGCTTGATACAATGGATGTATGGGTTGTTATAAGAGCCCCCAATAAAATGATTAAAATA